TTTAACAGCTGTCATGCATTGAGATAGAGCGGTGCAATTATGGGCTTGTATTGCAATCACAGGATCTGAGCACTTTGCAGTGACTGATCCAATCGTGGAGGTGGAAAAAAGTCCTGTTCATCAACACTAGTCCTTACCAGTTTCTCTGTGGCAAGCTGAATTGCCTTTTATTGTTATTTATATGTTTTTCTTTGTCTGCTTAGTGTATGGTTTTATTATTGGAAAGCACTTTGGTCAACTGTGTTGTTTGTGCTATATAAATAAAGTTGGATTGGAACTTTGATGATAAATATGAAAAAAACATTGTAGATGTAAATGTGAGGCCTTCTGTATTTTCATGCATTGCAACATGCATGCATTGACCAACTTGCCTATAAAGAATATATCAGATATGAAGTTAATAAAGATAATAAAGCCTGAAAGCTTTACCTTCAGTCGCTGAATCAGCAGAATTCTTAAGGGTCACAGCTCTGCCTTCAACTGACAAAAAATAATTTGAACCCACATAACTGTATTATAATATATAAGATAAGATGACCTTTATTAGTCAGCAAAAGAATGAATATGTGTCTGTTAGAACAACATCATAGGTATGCCATAACCACAAACCCTTTTGAAATCCTAAACTGTAACTTACTACAAAACTTGACAGTTCTTTAGAAATGTGGCTAGATATTGTGTCAACACATACACAATGACTGTAATTGTTCAGTGCACATTTTCTCATCAATACTTGCAGTACATTTCTGGCTACTTCTTCTGCCATCATATTTTTCTAGAAGAGATATAATCCTTTCAAACAGAGAAACTCTACTGCCAAATATTGATTTTAAGGCTATACATCAGGGGTTTCACACTCATCTTACTTTGCGCTCCACATATACCCCACTTTTTACTTAACTGGGCCACACCAGTGAAACTCCCCTTTCTGTCGGGGTAAAGAAGTTACATAACTGTTTTTTCTACACAATAAGGAAATAAGGAAGCCTTTTGTCCTCAACAATGAAAAATGGCTGGAGAAAAAAAACAGGTATTACTTTATTCAGCTCAGTGCACTCAGCTTTGCAGCCAGATGCTCCTCATTTTATGTTTTTGTTAGTTTCTTAAATTTCCCTGACATGCTTGCATTTAAATCAGGCTCCCCCAACTCTCTATGTACCTGGCCTGTACCACTAAACTTGCTGTCTTTATATGGAATTTCTGCCCCACTTCCTTTCAAGAGTTGTCTTTGCCTGTGATTGGCAGCATGGTGTCTTGGTCAAAATAAAGTCCTGCTCTGCCTGCATGTATTTTCATGCAGGCAAGGGTGTGCATTAATAATTGACATATGTAATTAGTTTCAATTCCAAAGTTCAGGCAGCACTGCTGAAACATTCACATCTGCCAAATAAGCCCTTTAAGCTGTCTTAACTTTACATTTTTAACAACTATCTGGCTATTTTTTATTTAAGTCTATGCTAGTCAGTATTGCTGGGATTTACTGACTCAGGATTACTATAACAAAAACAACAAAAATGTTGCATACCATCCTCTGCATTGGATTTCCTTCTGATAGCCAGCCAGCTCTCTGGTGATTCCCCAACTCCATGTATTTTGCATTTATATAATCCTTCATGAGAGTTTGAAACATTTTGGATTTCTAACTTTCCACCATAGCTGGTACCCATGAGGAAGCTATCTTTGTAGAAATCAGCTGTGAAATTTGAGTCTTGTTTGTCTGCCTTCTTTCTACAGTGCAGAATAACAGCATCTCCCTCCATCACAGGACGAACAGGACTCTCCAGTATCACAGCACCAGCTGAAAATGCAAAGAAATTTATAAATGTTACAAATGTGCAATGGTTTAGTCATTATAACCTTCACATTTCAGATTTTAATTCTGATAATAACATACCTGAAACAGTGATACTGACAGTGTTGCTTCTCTCTGCTCCACTCTCACACCAGTATTCTCCACTATCTGAAGCAAGAGCATATTTGATCCCACAATTCTTGATCACGGTGCTATTGGAACATTTTGAAAAGATTTGCAGAGTGTTTCTCACTTTCCATCCTGCTGAAATGTTAAATCCTTCACAGGTAAAAGAGACTGACTCATATTCAAAGAGCTGCAGTCTGGATGGAATGATGGAAAAAGGTGAATCTGAGAAAGAAGGATGCAATAAAACAACGACTGAGTTCCCAGAGATTCAAGAAGTAATTCCCATGCTAATTCATGGTGAGTGGTGGAAAACAAGGATTTAGACAGAGGGGTTGGAAAACATGATATGAATATAAAGGACAAATACTACTTACAAGAGATCTTAGAATAACTTTTCTGCACATCCGCAAACAGCAGCAACAACCCTGCAGAAACAGTTTGTTTTCACACCAACATGTAAGTTAAATCAGATTTGAGCTACAGTCTGTCATGGATCGCTGTGTGGCAGGCAGGAGGAGGACCCAAAATGCAAAACTCACAGACACGGGATGAACTCAAAACTCACAGCTTTAATGCTGGAGAGGCAGAAGTAGAATGCAAACTAAACTGGGAAAACTAAATACAAAGCTCGCCAAGAGACACAGGGAGGAACACACACAACATGAGGGAGAACGCGACGCCGAACAGAGGGAGACGCAGACATAAATACACAGAGGGTTAACGAGGAAAGTGGGAACACACGGGGAACACAGCTGACACAGATAACCATAACAAGACAGGGCAGGTTGAACATAACACTGACGGGAGACGGGCAGAGTCAAACAGGAAGTACAGAGGTTCAGACAGGAGGAGAGAGAGCACGGGGAAAACACAGACATAACGGGCTGGGGAAACATGGAATAAAACATAAGGAGAGACGAGGGCTCACAGATACACAGAGGGGCACACAGGGGGTAAAAGCCACGAAGGGAAAACACTTAGGGAACAACACAACAGGGCAACTCAGGAAACATGGCCTAAATAGGGAACAAAATACAAACATACAAGAAAACTAAGAATACTGGGCCAACATGGCCCAGGACCATGACACAGTCAGTATGAAGGCATGTTTAATCATCTTTTTGTGCAAGAGATCAACATTTACATCTCCATTATACTGATATCAACATATAACAGTTCATTACTTGTGCAAATATACGAGTGCTAAAAAGTAATACATAATTTGTAAATTCGGTGTTATTAAACATTACATTTAAATTATTTGCATAACTACCCAACAGATTAAATGTATTAAGACAACTTTAAAATAAAACATGTTGGGGTAGAACAGGAACAGACTACTGCATAAAATATAAAAAAAAGATTTTATATGTAAGCAAATGGCATGAGGCAAATGCTGTACTCACAGAGTCTACTACAGAGTGCTATGACCTCCATTCTTCTTTCTCACTGAGAGTATCAAGCAACATTAAATCTAAATACACAGCTGAGGTCTTCCTCTTCCTGTGCAGGTCACTTTACTTCTTGTGTTGAGCAGACTTTATTGTGTAAGTTTAATGAAGACTGTTGCAAGAGCGTCACAATAATAAATATAGAACAGTGAATATGTTAAACTGGGGGCAAAAAGGTTTGGTGCCAGCGTTTTAGGACTTTTGACACATTTTGACAGTTACTGTTCCTTAGCACAGCAGCAGCATTCCCATAGTGCCCCCTTCTGACCAGTAAACACAATCATGTTTTCTGGTTATGAGTCCAATAAAGCAGCTCATATCACTGCCTCACAGGTGGCTCGCTGTAGCATTTTATAATCACCCAATTCGGCTGGTTGAGAAGGCCCCTAATGGCCCATATCTACGGGCTGATTTCTGCTAATAATACCCAAAGAGGGTGAAAGAAACTGCTGAAACCATTTTGAGCTCCTCTTTGGTTTATACATGATTTGTATTGATCTGATGCAGTATGCAATCAAGGTCAACCGTCCCTGTGTTTGTCATGTTCAGTGTTCACCTGATGAATAGACCAATGAATGCTAGAAAGTGATCCGACCGGAGTGTCCGGTTTGCAGTGACTCGTTAATACCTGTCTCGGTTTTTGTTTTTGTTTTAGCTTCCAGCGACTCGTTTCACTTTGACAGTAACAGTTTGGATCACTGTGTCGGAGTCTGGGGTCTTTAGCTGTGGTAAGTCTTTGTGTTTATTTGTTTGTTTTTGTTTTGGGTTTGTTTTTGAGTCAGAGAACAAAGAAATAAGAACTTTATAACAAAACACTAAAAAATGTGGTAAAAAAAAAACAAAGGGATTTTTTCTACATGTTACTGAAGAAACTCTGAATAACGTCAGACTGTTTTTTCTCTGTCAAACTGTGAGCACATACAAGATGACAAATGATTGTCAGTTGTTAAAAGTGTGAGAGCAGGTTAATTTCAAAATAAAAGGTCATAGTCTAAGCTGATCTGTGTTCCTGGTGAGTGTTTGATGGGTCACCTCCAGCCTTGGCTGAGCCTTTGTGCTTTTCTTTAATGTATTTGCCAAATAGAGATAAAACACAGAGCTGACTGCAGCAGCAGGTTTCTCAGATTTAGTCAGGCATTAGTACAATGTCAGAAATGTTACTCTTGTCAGTGAACCACAGGGGAGTGACTACTGTTTACTACACTGTTAAAACCCTCATACCCTCCTCAGGACTGCATTTTGCATCATTTCTACACCTTTGTGTACAAATATCTAAACAATGTTGATTTGATTGCATTATTATTTTTTGTGTAGTGCCTCTCGACACAACAGTTCACTTTCAGCTCATATCACTGCCTCACAGGTGCTTTATAATTGCGGTAATCAGCTACCTGGCAACTGGGTCAAAGTACAGCCTTTTATTTATATGTAACCCATTATAGAAGGAGCTAAAAACAAGGAATAAAGAAAAAAAAACACATATATATTTATGATTTTAGTTCAACTATTAACTTGGTTTAAAACACTACAGTAAGATTTCTCTTTAGTGTAAACTTGATCATTAATGAGTAATGTATTCTTAACTCATATGTGACACTCTGCGTATCTAGTTCAGAACACAGTGGACATGCCTGAAGTCTGTCCCTGAACAACATTTTATATCAGACAACAGGTGTGGTTTGTTTTTGCACAGAGTAGATTTTAATAGACTGCGAGGTAGATAAGACAGATCGAGCAGGTGCAGGACAGGTTATTTGATTTAAGGACTTGACTTTGAACTTGCTGATTGAAAAGTGAGCCAACAGTAAGATATCCTCAACTTTTCTCACCATAATTTCATTTCCAGTGTGAAAGAAAATGTCTTACAACTGTGTGTATTTGAATTTTTTTGCAGCACACAATGCCTCAACACAAGGACAGACGATCCTCTAAATCTCAACTCAGTGTATGGACTATAGTGTTTTTCCACTCTGTTATCATTCTTCAACTGACACAGATCAATGCAGGTAATGTATCCTCACAATTAATGACAACAGCCAATATACTTTTGATATGTACGCTCAGGATATGCACAAAGTACAGATTTATTAACACCTCTGTGTAAATGAAGACATTGTTAAATAAGCACTGTCATATGGATGACAGTTTCAACAAGAACTTATCAGCAGGTGTAAGTATTTTCTTGGGTTGCATTAAAAAAATTAAATTAGTAGTTATATTAATACTATAAACTATGAAATACACATGCTTTAAATGTAATGTTGTGTACGATTTACTGAAGCAACGAGGGTGTTTCTAAATTGCATTGGTTGCATTATACTTTATGGCAAAATGTCATTACACAAATATTAGTTTGTAATATTGTATTCAAAAGTGTTTTGTAACTAGAGAACAAGTGAGGAATCAATCAAGAAGGAACACTTAAAAATGAATGTCAACAGTGCATTTGAAAATGCAACCAGATGTGCTAAGAACATTTGGATTCCATCACAAAATGTTTTTTAACTCAAGGTCTTTCAAATGTTGAAATAATATCAATGGTTACGGTTTAACAATAGTTGGCGGCGCCATTGTTCAAACAAACAGGTCAGTACACTACTAAGAATGAAAGTGAAAGTGTCCCTTTAGATTAGTCATATTTTATAACATGTTAAGGTTAAAAAGGTCTTGTATAAGAGAGAAGTGTCAGAGTTTATGACTAAGTTGTTTTTTGGGGAGTTTTTCACGTGTGTAACCTAATAAAATAACGACGATTTATTACTTTTCCAAATCTTCCTAACAGTTTACCATCGTTACATTTTGCAATCCGGTTGTTCAGTGATGACGCGACGAATCCTACTTCCGGGTCTAAAGTAGTAGGTAGTAGTAGGTCTAATCTGCGTTTAATACGGCTTTTGTGTTGTTAACATGTTTAATGTTATGTATTTTCTTCTATTTAATCTCAAAAAGCTCCTAAAACAGTCAGTGATCACTGTTGACCTCCCTCGGCTTTTATTACTGCTAATCATTTATTTAAGCTCAGTTTTTAAAACCTTAGGATGTAACTACAGCCCAGCTAATGCAGCAGTATATGAATGACTAACCTCGTATTGTGTGCACCCTCAGAGGACTTGATTAAACATCCATAATACAGAGAGGAAAGATTTTTATTCTTCAACTCATCTATGTTTCATGATAAAAATATATTACACCCACATTCAATTCTAAGTATTTACACATGTTAACAAATTAGGTAAAAACAACCTCAAAAAAATGTCAGAACATAATATCTTCTACTGTTATTATTTATTCAACAACAGCTATGCCAAAATGCGGAGATACACTTAAGAGTACAATTAAGACGACAACTATCTCCCAGGCACTGCTAATAAAATGTACTAAATTAATTCATCAACAAGCATGACCAACTCTGCAAAAGCAGAGATTTGGAGAGCTCCTGTGGAGCGTTGATTTGGGCTTGTTTTACAGCCACATGACCTGACATTAGCATAAATTAGGTCAGTCAGTGTTATAATGTCCAACCACTGAATTTTAGTCAGGATAAGGTCAGACCTTATCCTGACTAAAATTCAGTGGTTGGACATTATAACACCTTTGCGCCAAATCCCACCAAATCCCACTGAGCCAAATAGTTCTACAACAATGTGAGAAACTAGTAAAGTATAGAAAATTATTCTTTGAAGCAACTTCAAGTTATTGAAGAAAAAAAGAAAAGAATGAAACCCTTTTGCTTCACAGGTGAATCTCTGACAAACAGTCAGTATCGAATGTTCGCAGTAATTGGTCAGACTCAAGACATCATCCTACCATGCAAATTGGATCATCCTATGGATGTCGTGGATGAGATGGTAGAGTGGTCAAGATCTGACCTGAATCCCAGATTTGTCCACGTGTGGCGGTCAGGTGAAGATCATCTGGTTGGCCAAAACCCATCCTACAAGAACAGAACGTCAGTGTCCACTGAGAAACTGAAAACAGGAGATGTATCACTGAAAATTACCAAAGTGAGGCTGTCAGATGAAGGAACATACAGGTGCTTCATTCCAGGACGGAAGGCAGATTTTAGTGTTGAACTTGTTGTCGGTAGGTGGACAAACTCTATATGCTGCTACTGTTAAAAATTGGATTACTGTTTATATTTTATGTCACAGTTTTATGTGTTTTTAGAAGTTGATATTAAAATAACTGAGGTCAGCCCTGCAGTGCTAGAATGTAAATCCAAAGGCTGGTATCCAGAGCCGGAGGTTTTTTGGCTGGAGAACGAGGGAAAGATCATCTCTGCTGGGTCTAAAGAGATATTGAGAGGTCCTGATGACCTCTATGTCCTCAGCAGCAGACTGACTCTGGAAAAAGGACGCGGCAACAATATCACCTGTAGAATCCAACAAAACAACCAGTACAGAGAAGCCAAGATCCATGTTCCAGGTTAAGTTTTTTTTTTTTTTTTGCCTGTCCCGTTTGGCTCTTTTGCCATCAAAATTGTTGTCTAAAGGCAAAGAAAGATGCCCAACGGATTTACTTTACCAAATTGACCATCCCAGCCTTGCTGTAATGGTCCATTTGATTCACCTTTTATTGTTTATTTTATTTTCACTTGCTGAATACGGGACAGACTTGACTGGGGGAAAGAAGGGGAGAAAGAAAGAGGGAAGAAAAAAGCTGAGAAGAGGGACGGGGGAGAAGGGCAAAAAACAAAAACCAACAGAATAAGCAGACAAAAAAATGAATAAATAAATAAATATATCGATCACCTGGATCACCTGTTGAGAAAGAGAAAAGAAAACAACCAGAAGAGAACAAGAGTAATAGAATAAACAACATCACAATGATATATGGGAATATGACCGTAAATACTAAATATTAAACATTATTGTGCAGCACATAAGATCAACAGAACACAGTGTGCTTTGAGGTAGGAGCCAAAAAGGGTGTAGTTTGTGGGTGTGATCACCCGTGTCTACACCTGTGAGCATGGACGCGCTTGTTTTTAAAAGGTTCCTTCATGTAATGATCTGCTAGAGGGTGTGGGGGGGCCACAGCCCCGTCCTCCAGGGCATGAAGCAGGTATGGAGGAGATCAAAACTCCAGACATCCAGAGGCCCCCAGAACACAAGAGACCAAGGAAGACCAACAGAGGGGCAGCCGCGCCACTGTCCCAGAAAGAGCTAAGGAGAGTCCCAGATGAGGGCTCACTCAGCAGCCGCAGAGCGGAAGCCAGGGGGGGTTGCAGTGACGCGCCCGTGAGCTCCGCCGGCAGCCAGCTGTGCCTGAGTGACCGAGCCCCAGGCCGAGAGGCCGGGGGCACCCCACCCCCGAGTTTTTTATATTTTTATTGTGTGATGTGATCCATATTTAAGCTCCAACCTAGCAACCTTAACAAAGCCTATGTCTGTTTATTAATAATTGTCATAACTTATGTACTTTATCATTTCAGATGCTTTATCAGCTAGATCTACCATTGCTGGTTTGATTGCTGGAGTCGTGTTTATTATTTTTGTGGCTTTTCTTGTTTGGAAGTGGAGAAAATACAATATGGGTGAGACTCTGATATATTTTAAAGGCCTTTGACTGCTGCTGTTGTCGTGGTCTCAATGTACTGATGGATACCGATAATAATGAATTTTCTTTGTTTAGTTGAATGGTAAATGGCCTGTATTTGTAAAGTGCTTTACTAGTCCCTAAGGACCCCAAAGCGCTTTACATATCCAGTCATCCACCATTCACACACACATTCACACACTGGTGATGGCAAGCTACATTGTAGCCACAGCCACCCTGGGGCGCACTGACAGAGGCGAGGCTGCCGGACACTGGCGCCACCGGGCCCTCTGACCACCACCAGTAGGCAACTGGTGAAGTGTCTTGCCCAAGGACACAACGACCGAGATTGTCCAAGCCGGGGCTCGAACCGGCAACCTTCCAATTACAAGGCGAACTCCCAACTCTTGAACCCAGTTGAAGTTATATTCCTGTTCAAATTTCATCATTTTATACAATTACTTGAAGTTTAGGTCTATAACGACATTATTGATGGTTCTGGCAATGATGTTTATATATCACAACTAACTAAAGTCCACAGTTCAACACCACTGATGGCAGAAGATTAAGATAATATTGCCAATATACTGTTTCCTATCTTGTCAGATAAAACCGACAAAGTTCATAGCAATTTATTTTTGTCTATGAAAACCATCATTTTGTGGTAAAATGCATCACTGGTTTCCCACCAGTGTTGAAAATATTAAAGGTTTGATGTTGGTGTTCCAAACAATGGTTCATGTCTAAGTCTAGCTGCAGCTGTTAAATGTTTACATATGCTGGTGTATGTTGCAGATTTATTTAAAATTGAATCCAACCAATACAAACATCATACCAGTAACATATCATTATGCACATGTTATGTTACTGTTACAATGTGATGTGTGTATGTTTGCATTATATATTCATCTGACTTATGCCTATAAAGTTTTTTTTAATTCACTGTTAAAATGAATATTTTAAATATTTTATTTACTTATTTAATGTTGTTAATATTAGAAGACATTTTAAGTTAGTTTCAAACATATTATTATCATTATTATTATTATTATTTTAATAATACTATAAATTCTTATAAGGTATTTAAAATTGTAACTTTTGTCATCTGTACTTACACACAGAGACCAAAAAGTGCTGTAATGATGGAAGCATGGATAAATCATACCTGTCAGTTATAGAATCACAAAAGGAACCTCTGATGAAGCAAGATAAGGTTGAAGTGAATGACACTGCACATGTCAGTACAGAACCTGAATCTTCATGTCAAAATGAGGTGGAAAAGGAGTATGATATTGCCAACAAAAATATTCCTCAGACAACAAAAAGTGGCACACAACAAAATAATAACCAACCAGGAAGAGAGACAGCAAATTCTCTATACAGAAATGACGAGGCCCAATCAGGTAATGGGAGACAAGCACAACCTGAGCAATTTGAGAATAACACCAAGAGCAGAAAGGATGAAATCCCAAATCAGAGTCTGATGGATGACAGTGGACAAGAACATCACCCTAAACAAGGACAAGAAGCAAAGAATGATACCAGCACTGAGGAAAACAAAAATAAAACACAAACTATAAATGATGAAACAGCACCTCAGAGTGCAAGTGCAGAAGAAGGAACACAAAGTACTCATTCTGAGGGCAAAGAAATTAAATGCCAACACAGCAATAGTGGTGTGAATGTTTATATAAATGGTGAGAAAAATCCTCCCACATCACAAGAAAGTGGGACAAACCAAAATCAGATTGGTAGTGATGTTGCTGCAAATGCATCAGAAACACCCGCAAAGAAGCCTGATTCTGAGGAAAGCCAGTTAGAAAAAACAACTGTAATGAGTGAAGGTCAAGAAGAAGAAGCTGGAGGGAAAACCATCAATCCAGCAATTAATAACAAACAGAATAGATATAATGAAACGCAAGATCTACCTGATGAAAACAAAACCATGCCTTCACATTCTGGAGCAAATGAAACAAACCAAGACCAGTCAGATAGTGATACTCAGGAAAAGCAGCCAGGAAATAATCCAACAACAGATCAGATTTTAACAGGTGTTGATCATCAACAACAACAACAGCCCAGAGAAGGACAAGAAACAAAAAGGGATTCAGAAAAACATGTGAAGGATGGAAATGGAGATGAAACACAAACTACAAATAATAAAACAGCAGATTCAAATAACAAAGACACAAGTCAAAATGATCCATCAGAGGGAAAAGAGCCAAAGGATAACAGGGAGAAAGTTTGCAAGTCAAAAAACAAAGCTCAGCCTTTGGATCCAGAAGGCAATACAACAAACCAAGAGCAGTCAGGCAGTGAAACACAGCTTAATACTGAGGAAAAACAGTCAGGAAATACTCAAACAACAGATCAGAGTCCGATGGAAGGCGGTCAACAAGAAGAACAGTTGAGGAAATCAAGCGATGCAAAAAGTGTTCCAGAGGACGAGAAAAAAGATTCAAATGAAGATGAAACACAAACTACAAATAATGAAACAGCAGATTCAGCTAACAAAGACATAAGTCAGGGAGGAAACCCAAAGGAAAACAGAGAGAAAGATAGCGACTCAAAAGCCGGTGCTCAGCCTTCAGATCCAGAAGTCAGTACAACAAACCAAAAGAAGCCTGGCAAAGGTCTCACCTCAGTGAAAAAAATTCAGTCAGGAAAAAGTACAACAGAAGATCAGAGTGAACAACAAGAACTGTCCACAGAAGAAGGAGAAATAGAAAATGATGCAGAAGAAGCTCAAGACACAGAAGGTCAGGATTTGTTTTTGACATCTTTGCATCACTATTATTTATGAATGTCAGGCTTTTCATTCCAATGTGACACTGATTAGATGGGGATATTTCATTTTTCTAAAATTTGTTAGACAAATATGTAAAAAATGCCAATATTTTTAGTATTTAACATATTCTGACAGTTTGAGTAAAACTAAAATTAATTAGTCTGACCCTGGTAAATAAATATTATGTTTAATGGGGTCACACTAATGACACGCCACATCTAACTTTGATAGGTTGGAAGATACTGTTATACGCCCTAGGCAGTACTAAAAGACTCCATGCAGTTGTCATTCATGGGTTGATTCCATACTAAAAGAGTTGACAATAAAAAAAAGGTTCTCAACTGATAATAAAAAGGTATATAGTTAATACTAATTCATATTAGTTGACATAAGCATAAAAACAATGTAGATACAGTAACTAAATTGTTAAAAAAAAATATTTTTAGTGTTGCATTAATGGTTGTCATTTTATTTAAGAGAACTGCGATCTGTACATTACTAATCGGCTAGTAAGCCTTTTCTGGAATCAATTGATAGTGTTTCCATTCTCCACTAGGGGCTTTTTGTGCACTCTCCTCATTGCAAAAAAGGACTGCATGAGAGAAGCAACACAAAATCACTCTCATGATTCTTTCCCCTTGTTTTCTGAGATGTAAAAATAACCATATTTTTTATGTGGTAACCTGCTTTTATACTGCTATTGTATTTATTTATTTTATTTTTTCAAAGTTTACATTGAAAATAATGACTG